GAACAAAGCAACTCTCGGGGTGGATCTCAAGATCACCATATAGTCCGAGAACAAGCAAGGGGCCACAAGGCCAGTCCACATGCAATGATTTAGCATATATAAGAGATGCAAGAGTACAACACATACATGACAAGCATCTCTACAGAAGCAAGGGGCCACAATGCCTGTCCACAAGCACAGATATGTCATATATAGTGAGATGCAATAGTACAAGACAAAGCATAGCTACGCAAGCAAGTGAGGGCATGTAGACACAAGACCAAGCTGGGTGTACAAATGCTGGTGGTCACAAGGCGGCAATGCCCTGGTGAAGATATCTGCAGTGTTGGCCTCAGAGACCACATGTCGCACGAGTGCCTGGCCACACTGCTGTAACTCTCGCAAAAGAAAGTAACGAAGCTGGATGTGCTTCGCCTTCCCAACCAGTTGGGGCTCATCGCACAACAGGATAGCAGACCTGTTGTCGGCGAACAAGACTGGGGGAGAGCGAGGTCGCTCACCAAGGTCAATGAGGAGGAAAGACAGCAAGGGATGCTCCTGGGCGGCCATGGCCATAGCGTACACCTGTGCCTCACAGTTGGAACTACAGACAAACGACGCCCGAGTCGACCTCCACGAAACAGCTACGGACCCAAGGCCGAAGCAGTAACCCTGTGAAGACCGCAGTGACTCTGTGTCATCGGCCCACGACGAGTCCGAGAAACCTGTAAGTGTAACTGGCTGCTTCCCCTCCAAGGACAAGTCCCATGCCTGATGTACTCGCCACATACTTCCCCACCCTCTTAGCAGCGTACCAGTGGGAAGGTCGGTATCGCCCAAGTGCAAAAAAGTAGCGAAGCTAGGTCTGGGCGAGTACATCTCATCAGGTACATGAGACAACCTTCCAGATCAGGATATGGACCACTGGACTCAAATGGCTTGTTCGAAGGTGGAGCCGTGAGCCCATGATCCACAGTAAGAGGGGTGGGCTGTACCTTGGAGAACGGGAAGCGAAACCGCGTGAGGATTTGCTCGACCACATGCCACTGCATGAGCGTAATGGTGCGAGCTGTCCTGTCCCTGGTGATCCGCAGGCCAAGATAGCGCTGCAGCTCACCAAGGTCAGTGCAAGTGTGTCTCCCCTGCAGTTCCCCCTTCACGGAGGCCTGTGCGCATCGGTCGGGAGTGGCGAAGACCAGGTTGTCAACGTAGACCAGAACAAAGAACGGGGTTGAGCCACGGCGGACGAACATCGACGGGTCGGCAGACGACGCAAAGAAGGCAAGCGCTGCAATAGTCGTACGTACTGTGTCGTGCCACTCGCGGGGAGCATGGCGCAGGCCGTAGACCGGTTGACGCAGCTGCCATTGGGTCCCATGAGGGAAAGAGCCAGTGAAGCCAGGCGGACGACGTAGCCGGATCTGCTAGTGCAGGCTCCCCTAAAGGAACGCGGTGGAGAAGTTGAAGGAGTGCAACTCATAGTCACGATGTACTGCAATATGCAGCAACACCCGAAGTGTGGCCATCTTCGGGGTGGGAGCGAAGGTCTGGAAGAAGTCTACCCCCTCTCGCCACGTAGCACGCCTTGAACACCGGTGGTGCTCCAGGCGACCGCTTCACCTTGTAGAGCCACATGCCACTGACAATGTTCGCCCCAGGTGGTGGGACGGCATCGACGTAGGTGCCTGTGGGCCTATAAGATGCCATCTCTGAGCTTAGGCGTTGGGCTGCGCGTGACAATGCAACCATCCTTGCTATCACTGCCCTGCTTTCGCTGACCGAGCAGGAACACTTTGCGCAGGAGGAGATGGCCCACGCACTGATGAAAGCTGTGGTCGTTCGCTATTCCACACCGGTCACTGTGACTCTAGGACGCCACATCCTCCCCTTTCTCTTTCCTGATCTCCCGTCGTTCTCTAGGGTGGCTGACCTTATCCTACACTTGCGTTCCCTTGATGCTCAGTTCCATGCTGCGTTTGTTGACCCTCCCTTGCTCGCCAAGAACCCCCCCCCAATGTACATGACCCTGTACCTCCTAGCCTCCCGCCTCCCTGACCGATTCAAAACCGTTCGTGATCACTTTCTCACCATTGATCCACCGATCCTCACCATTGACCTCTTTGAGGAGAAGCTTCTCGCAGTAGAGGGTCCTGCTCGGTCCCTTGCTACCACTACTGGTGTTGTCCTCCCCCCTATCTTTGAAGGGTGTGCCCCGTCCTTCCTTGTCTCCTCTGTGGCCTCGGCCTCTGTTGCTACTGCAACAGAGGTGGCATCCGTTGCCTCTGGCAACAAGGGGGGCAAGAAGGGCGGCAAGAAAGGAGGAGGTGGTGGTGGCGGTGGGAGTGGCGGAGGGGGTGGTGGTGGAGGAGGTGGAGGAGGTAGAGGGAGTGGAGGAGGTGGCGGTTCCGGTGGTAGTGGAGGTGGGGGTCCTGGCTCGGGGAGTGTGGAGCCCCAGCACCAGCTACAGCAGCAGCGGCAGCAGCCGCAGCAGCAGTCACAGTAGCAGCCCCAGCAGCAGCAGCTGCTCCAAGGCCAGCTGCAACAAGTTCAGCAATGGCCCCCGCAGCAGCAGTGGAGGTCGGCCGGACCAGGGAGCACTGCCCGAAGCAATGGCCTGTCCAGCTGGTCGTCGCGGGGTCCAGCCTTGACTCCCTGCTAGTACTGGGTTTAGACTGGGTCACGTCGAGACGGCCCCTGCGGCCGCCTCCACCCTCCGGGTCAATGCTTTGCGTAGCTTACGGACCGCTACCGCGCATACTTCGGCCTTGGTCGCACCCCCCCGACTGGCGCTCGCTGGCTCACACCGTTGGTCCGCTGTTGTTTGACATGTCTGCAATAGAGTTAGACCATGCTTTGCGATCTATCTTTGCGCCCCTGGCGCGAACAAGTTGTCTCTACGCACTCGTGTCTGCGTCTTTCTTGGCTTCCTTTTGGACGCCTCCAGCTGGGTGTTCTACGACCTGGTCACCTACCAGTTTTTCGCTTCTCAGGACGTCACATTCGACGAGTCTGTCTGTTACTACAGGAGTCGCCCCCACCAAGGTACTGAGGTCTTTTCCCCCCCCCCGCTGTTCCTCACCTTTGAGCCCCCCCCCAGTCACCCCGGTAGCCCCCCCCTTCGCGTCCTGCCTCGTCGGGTGTGTCCCACGTCAATCCGCAGTCGTCCCCCCCGCAGCGTCCAGTCCCTGTCGGGGGGGGGGGGGGAAGCACCCTTTAACGCGCGATTCTGGGGAGTCCCCCAGCAGCCCTCCCCGTCGCATCCCTTCCCCGTCACCCCCGTCGCGTCCCTTCCCTGTCGCCTCCCTGTCGCATCCCCTCCCCGTCGCCTCCCCGTCGCGTCCCTTCCCCGTCGCCTCCCCGTCACATTCCCTCTCCGTCGCCTCCCCGTTGCGTCCCCTCTTTGTCGCTTCCCTGTAGTGTCCCTTCCCCGTCGCCTTCCCTTCCCCTGCCCATAGCGTCCCCTCCCCGCCGCCCTACAATCCGCCAGCTCCGTACGCCAGCCCTGTTGCGCCCCCGTTCGCCAACCCCGTCGCGTCCCCGTCCACCAGCCCCATCGCCAGTCCCATCGCCAGCTCCGTGGCCAGCCCAGTCCGCCAGCCCCGTCCGCCAGCCCCGTCCGCCAGCCCTGTCCGCCAGCCCCATCGCGTCCCCTCCCCGTACGTCCTGCAGTCCGCCAGCTTCGGCTGCTACCAGCCCTCCAGGGTTGCCCAGGGCCGTCCAGAACCACCCAGGACTGTCCAAGACCGCCCAGAACCGCCAAGAACCGCTCAGGACCGCTCAGGACCGCCCATAACCGCTCAGAACCGCCCAGGACCGCCCAAGACCGTCCAAAACCGTCCAGAACCGCCAAGAACCTCCCAGAATCGCCCAAAACCACCCAGAACCGCCCTGAACCACCCAAAACCGCCCATAACCGCCCATAACCACCCAGAACCGTTCCCCACCGCCAGAACCAGCAGCAGCTTAGGCTGCCGCCAGCACTAGCAGCGGCTTAGGCTGCCGCTAGAACCAGCAACAGCATAGGCTGCCCCCAGCAGAACCAGCAGCAGCATAGGCTGCCCCCAGCAGAACCAGCAGCAGCATAGACTCCCTCACCCAGCAGAACCAGCAGCAGCTTAGGCCGCCCCCAGCAGAACCAGCAGCAGCATAGGCTGCCCCCAACAGAACCAGCAGCAGCATAGGCTGTAGCCAGCAACCGCTCTTAGCCGCTCCCCATCGCACTCGGCCGTCTCTAGCGCCTACCATGGCGTGTGCTAGAGTTGTGCAGCAACAGCAGGGTCAGCCGCAGCGAGTGCAGCTACAGCACTCCCGGCAGTGAGGACCTGAGGGTCCTAGGAGTACCGGCCGCAGCAGCGGCTCAGCCGGTCGTGGGCGCGACGTCGGTCCCTGCGGGTACCGGATCCTGACTGGCCTAGGTGCTGGCACTACCTGCTGGAGTCCTAACCACTCTGCGTGGGCCCACCCATTCGCGGCGCGGCGCTCGTTGCGACGGGCGTGGCGGCAAGCTGGCCGCGTTTCCCTTGTCGCCAGCTCGTCGTTTTTCCCTCGTCGCTTCTGCCCGTCGCTAAATCCGTCGTGACGCTCGCGACCGTGACGGTGGCAATTGTGCAATGGCGAGACCTGTTCTCCCTGTCGTAGTCCCCGTCGCAATCCCCGTCGCAGTCCCCGTCGAAGTCCCTGTCGCGGCTCACCATCGCACTGCTGGTGCGGCCCCTCGTCCTGCTTGTCGCGACATTCTGCGAGCTCACGTTTCATCCACGTTTTGCTCCCCCACGCCCGTCCGTACGCTCCACGCCGCCTATCGTCAGCTCCCCCGTCGCCCGTCGTCTCCTCCCCATCGATCAACGCTCTGCACATCACATTACCCTCGCCCCCTGCCCGTCACCCCCCCCCGTCGTGGCTATTCGCGTGTGCAGCGGCGGTCGCTGTGGGGGGTTGAGGGAAGAAGGGCAGGGAGTGGCGGCTGAACTTTGTGTGGGGAAGAGGGAAGCGGGGGAAGGGCATGGCAGGACCGCCAGCAGCTACACCGCCAGCGATCTCGCCAGCAGCGCCACCGCCAACAGCGCCACCGCCAGCAGAGACACCGCCATCAGAGACACCACCAGCAGAGACACCGCCAGAGCACAACCGCCAGTGCCAGCCGCATGCTCTGCCACCCGCCCCTCTATCCCCCCTCCCCCTCCCTCGTTGTCTCCCCTCTCGCGGCTGCTACTGTGGAGGGGAGGTGGTGGGGACGGGGGGTTGGGGGGTTGGCCGCCGTGAGCAAAAGCAGCACAGCCACCTCCTCCTCCTCTCGCTCACTCCCGCGTGTGTCGTTGAGTGGGGGGGGCTGAGGGGGTGGCGGCAGGAATTCTGCAGGGACTACTGTGGGTGGGGCAGGGGTGTGGAGGAAGGAAGGGGGGGAGGGGGTGCGGTCCCAGGGGGCGGCTGTTATGGGGGGTAAGGTTAAGGGGGGGAGGTTGAATAGGTGTGGGGATTTGGGGGTTAGTAAGAGGGGTTTTGCCACGCTTGGCTCCCCCCCACCTCCTCTCCTCATCACTCTCTCACCTCCCCCTTTTGTAAAAGGGGGTTAGTAAGAGGGTTTCGCCACGGGTGGCTCCCCCTCAACTCCTCGCCTCATCCCTCTCTCACCTCCTCCTTTGTATCTCTCCTTTCCTCTCCTCTCTCTCTCTCGCCTCCTCCTCCTCACTTCCCCCTCTGCCGTCTTCTGCTGTGCTAGGTGTACCCCTTCAAGGGGTGTTCTACACAGGTTTTTTCCTGCAAGCAGTTACGGGGGTGTGTCAGACATTATAATTATAATGTTCCGTTATATAACTGCCTGTAGGATTTACTGTAGTGTATTTCCTATTGTTTGGTGGTGCACCTTTGTTGATTTTGCTATATGTACCTTGTGTGCTATAGTGAAACTCAATCATTCTCGACACCTGCTTGGCCTAGGCTAGTAAGCCTAGGCCCTTAAACCTGCCTGCTAAGCTTACGTTTGTACGTTGACATGTTATCAAAGCAGGTCCCGAACTAGGACCGTTCATCCTTTATGGGCCCACCACTAGCCCTCGTCGTGGCCCATCCCGTAGCACATCCTGTAGAGTGCCTCGTGAGCGCTGCGACAATCACCTCGTCGCGCTGCCCTGCGGCAGCTCGTCACCCGCACGCTACCCGTGCTGCCGCCCGTCGCCTCGTCGTGCCCCCGCTCGTCGCCATGCGCCAGCGAAAAACGCCAGCGAAAACACCAGCGAAATCGTCAGCAGCCCGCCGCCACATTCGCCCACGCACCTGCGACCCCGTCTGTGACCCGACATCGAATTCGCGAGCCCGTCCGCGCTGCATCATCCCGTCGACCGCCGCTCCATCACGCTTGTCGTGAACCCTGGCGACCCCGCCCGTTTCGGTCTCCCGTCCCACTCAGCGCGCAATACACGCCGACGGGCCCGCCAGTGAGCACATATGCGAGCCCGCCGACGTTCCCGCCGACGGACCCGCCAGCACCAGAGGCGGCTGTCTGCACCAGCGCCAGTCTGCACCCTGTCCGTTGCCCCATCCTCTCCCCCGTTCCGCTCGACACGAACCCCGGCGATCCCCCCCGTTCCAGCCACCAGCCCCGCCCGTTGCGCACCAGCAACAATCCCCACCCGCCCTCCCATCGGCCCCTCTTCTGCTGCCGCGACTTCACTCTCCTCGGCAGCAGCTGTTGCACTCCCCGGTCACCTCACCCGTGCCTCCCTCAGCACTCCCGTTGTTGGGGGAGGTGATGGGGGTGGCGGCCAGTGGGGGGGATGTGGTGGGAGTGGGGCAGCACCGCCAGCCGCTGCTCTGCTGCCCGTGACATTGAGGGGGTAGGCTGAAGGGGTGGCGGCCAGTGCATTATGCAGCGCCTACCGTGGGTGGGGAGGGCTCTGGAGGAATGAAGGGGGGAATAGAGTGCGGTTCCAGGGGGCGGCTGAAATGGGGGGTGAGGTTAAGGGGGGTGGTTGAATGGGTGTGGGGATTTGGGGGTTAGTAAGAGGGGTTTCGCTGCGCTTGGCTCCCCCCCCACCTCCTCTCCTCATCACTCTCACCTCCCCCTTTGTAAAAGGGGGTTAGTAAGAGTGGTTCGCTACGGGTGGCTCCCCCTTGCCTCCTCTCCTCATCCCTCTCTCACCTCCTCCTTGGTACCTCTCCCCTCTCTCTTTCTCTTCCATTTGCCTCCTCCTCATTTAACTCTCTGTCGTCTTCCACTGCGCCAAGTGTACCCCTTCAGGGAGTGTTGACTGCACTAGTTATTACTGCAAGCAGGCTGGGGGGGTGTGTTAAAGTTATATTTAATATCCTACTTGCGAGAGTTATGGTAGTGTAGTTATTTCATTATTTGTTTGGTGGTGCACCTTCTTTGTGTTGGTGCAACCCTACGGTTTGCACTCGGCTTGTTGTCCGTGTGCGTGAATGTGTGTGTGTATGGAATGGTATGAGGGCATGGGATGATATATATTTCATGCTTATAATTGTGTGTGAATGTTGAGTCATGATGTCGAGTGTGTGTGTCGAGTCAATAGCGAGTTATCGCTAGACGCGTGTTACGCGGTCGTTTGTGTCTCGCGCGCGGTTTCTATTTTGTCGTGCGCGGTTTCTATTTTGTCCTGTGTCGAACGTTCGGCGTGTCGCAGGTGTGTGCAGAAGACCCATCAAGAACTCAAGGATGAGTTTGTGATGAAGAGCCCGAGCCTTGGTGTCAAGCCTCAAGTGATTCCGAAGCTCGCCAAAAGGGTGCACCTCAAGATATTGAAGATAGTTACATTACTTTGTGTAGTGTAACATTTCACTTGGTGTAGGCCCTAGTGAAGGGTAGTTTCGAGACCCTTCGTGGTTGGGGACAGTGTGGCACTGTTCCACATCACTGTACCTCGGCTCTTGGGGTTTGTAGGAGCTGGGAGTCATTCCCAACTCGTAACTCTTCCTATCTTGTGTTCTAAGACTATAGTGGCTGCCATAGTACCGTTCGTTCAAACCGACGCTGTGTCGTCAATTCTTTATCAAATCGTGCAATCTAAATTGCTAATTGTAGACGACGTGAAGACGCTCCAGATCCAATTTGAATCAAGTCATTTGCAGCTGTGAGCAGAACGCTATCAACGTTTGAAGCCGCTGTGCAGAAATCCGTCTATGCTCTCTATCTTTCGTTTTAGGCACATTCAAGCCTATTGTGACTATAACAAGTGGTATCAGAGCCCCTTGGAGCAGTTTCGACAATGTCTGGACCTGAGGAAAGGGGTGGCAGAGGTGCTGGTGGCAGTGGAGAAGCTCATGCTCAAGGCCAACCCCGTGATTCAGCCATGGCGCCCATGCAACCAAGTCTTGGCCCACCTAGGGATGAGCCTAGGGTGTTTGGGCTTGACAAGTTCAACGGTGACAACTTTGCTGAATGGTCCTTCAAGATGGAGAACATCTTTGACCACTATGACCTGCTGGAGGTGATGGAAGGAACGGAGAAGCGCCCCGAGAACGACCCGGAGAAGAGCCCGTGGGTGCGGAAGAGCGCACAAGGCTATCTCTTACTTGGGCAAGCGTTGGGGAGCAGTCAGATCCGTCACATCAAGCCATTCCAGCGTGAACCAGAGAAAGGACCAAAGGCATGGGCTGCTCTCAAGGGTGTACATGCTCCTGCAACAGCGGCGGTAGCGGTGGTGTTGGAACGGCAAATGGCGGCACTACGAATTGAAGAAGACGAAGCGGTTGAAGAAGGGGTGCAGAAATTCTTCGACTTGTTAACGCGGCTTGAGGGAGCTGATTTGAACTACAGTGAGCTCCAAAAGAAGACCAAGTTGCTGGCCTTACTCCCAGAGTCATGGTCCTCGCTCATCATCAACCTTAATCGCGACTTGCCCCGCCTCTCGCTTGAAGACGTGAAGCGAGCTATCCTTCAAGAGGATTTCCGCCGCCGTGAGTTGGCGAGTGCGGATGGCGCTGGGGCAGTGAGCATCGGCCGTGGATATGGTCGAGGAAGAGGACGAGGGGGAGGAAGGTTTGGTGGCAGCAACTTCGGCGGAGGCCGCAGGAGTGGCGGTTACGGCAGCGACGACAAGAGCTACGGACGCGGTCGCGGCCGATTCGACGGCGAGTGTCACTATTGCCACAAGAGCGGACACATGTGGCGCGACTGCTACAAACTCCCTGATGGTTGGACCCCTGCTCAAGGCCAAGAGGGTAGAGGAGCAGGAGGAGGGAGAGGACGAGGCCGTGGAGGCCGTGGCGGTCGCGGTGGCGGAGCTGCAAACATGAAGAGCGGAGACAACGACAAGGACCCGAGCGACGATCGATACCCGGGTCTATTCTACTTCGTGTCGACGCAAGTACCGGCTGGTCCAGAGAAGGATGAAGGCTTTGAGGAGCCAGCAGCTGTGGGGAAGGTGACCCTACACCCCCTGGACTATTGGGTGATTGATAGTGGCGCTACCTATAGCATGACACCTCGCCCGGACTTGCTCACCGAACTCGAGCCGTCACCGGTGAAGCATGTCACATCGGCTTTGGGGCAGCGAGCAGAGGTGAAAGGCATGGGCAAGGCCATGTTCAAGGGTGCTGATGGGAAGATGGTGGGCCTCAAGAACGTGCTTTGGGTGCCCAGCCTTGCTGCAAACCTGATTTCCGTGCGGCGGTTGGCAAAGGCCGGCATGGACACGAACTCGAAGGGAGCCAAGACCTACACCGCAAGGCTTGGCGATCGAATTCTTTGGGACCTTCATGAGGACAGGGATGTCTACAACGAGATGTGGCAGATCCCAGTGGTCCCTATGCCTAAGGAGAGGCAAGTGGCAGCAAGCATCAGCACCAAGGATGGAGCGGTCGGTAGCGACGATGGCGCGAACGGTCGCGCTAAGGAGAATGAGCTCAAGAAGAGCAAACCTGGAGGGACCAGCAAGTTCAGTGAACCTAAGGAGAGTGGTGCAGCAACCAAGGAGCAGCAAAAGGGTGAGGAGAACCCAGAGGCAGCAGCGGAGGAGGACTACGGAGAGAGTATGTGGGGCGCTATTGCGAGCGCGGCATTCTCCAATCCAACTTCGGCTACGGGGGAGTGTGATTGGCTCACCTTGCATAGGCGCATGGGGCATGTGGCCCTGCCCATCTTGCAGCAGCTAGTGAAGAATGAGATGGTTGCTGGCATACGTGTGAAGGGGGAGCCCGATGAGGTGCTTGGCTGCCCGACGTGCATTCAAGCCAAGTTCACCCGGTTTCCGTTCCCTAGTTCGGAGGCAACGGCAAAGGCACCGCTTGATGAGGTGGTGATGGACGTGGTGGGCCCCCTGAAGCTTGGAGCTGCTGGAGCTGAGTATTTTCTCACCATTGTCGACGTCTACACCCGCATGACTTGGGTGTACGTGCTGGCCAAGAAGAGCGACGTGGCTGAAACGTTGAAGACGGATTGGTTCCCGATGGTGGAGCGGCAACAAGACCGTCTAGTCAAGTCAATCCGCACCGATCGAGGGGGAGAGTTCCTGAGCAAGGAGTTTGGGTTGTGGCTGAAGAAGAATGGTATTCGGCACTCCCTCACCATGCCATACTCCCCTGCAATGAACGGCATCGCCGAGCGAGCGAACCGCACAATCACGGAGGCGGCACGCGGGTTGCTCATTGAAGCCGGGCTACCCGACTATTTCTGGCCTGATGCGGTGCGGAGCGCGTGTGTGGCCAAGAACAGAGCCTTGACTCATGTGGGAGCAGACAAATGGGTGCCCTATGTGGAGTGGCTAGGAAGGAAGCCAAAGGTGGATATGCTTCGGGTGTTCGGGTGCATGTGCATGGCGCTCGTGCCTAAGCATCTTCGGCACAACAAGCTTGGTGCCAAGGCGGTGTGGGCCGTGCACTTGGGCATGGCTCAAAACAGCAAGGGATGGCTTCTTTGGGACCCATTCACCAAGAAGTTCTTGGTGAGCAGGGACTGCAAGTTCATGGAGAACTTCATGTACAAGGATTGGAAGGCGGAGAATGAGGCGAAGATAGGCGTGCGGTTTGGGGAGGTGAAGAGTTCCGGTTTGGAGCATGTGGAGCTGCCTTTGGAGCTGAGCAGCGGCAGCACAACCACAAGGCAATCCTCCCTTGTGAATGGGGGAGAGGAGGCCAATGATGCAGAGGAAGAAGAGGAGGAGGTGCAGCAAGTGAGCGAGCGTGCACCGTCACTCCCTTCCCGTACTACGAGTGCTCCACGGATTCGAGCCACACCGCAGCAACGCCAAGGCCTTCAAGTCCCTGCAGCTGAGGAGGAAGGAAGGGGGAAGAGGAGAGTTCAACCCCCTAATAGGCTGACCTATGATGCGCCGGGAAAGCAGGGCAAGACAGCCCTGGCCGGAGCGGCAATGATGGTCGGAGACGACGAGGAGAGTGACTACGAGGAGTGTGCCTTCGCGTTCTTCTCTCCGGTGGAGATGCCGGGAGAACCAGCAACTCTCAAGGAGGCTTTGGAGAGTAGTGATGCTGAGGAGTGGAAGAAGGCCATGGAGAGTGAGGTGAAGAGCATCGAGGAGAATGACACGTTTGAATTGGTGGAGCTACCGGAGGGGCGTACGGCGATAACGTCCAAGTGGCTCTTCAAAATCAAGTCGGATGCCGACGGCAAGATCGAGCGCTACAAGTCTAGGCTTGTAGCCAAGGGGTACCAGCAGAAGGAGAAGGT